CCAGATTCAGTTACTGCTGCCAGGGATCTATCCTCGCTCCCCCCCACCACCTCTGCCAATTGGTTTCATCACCCTTGGAGAAACTATAGACTGGGGCATGCTCTGGACATAGAATGCGATGCCCCACACAGTTGGGCAGCCTGCTGCTGCTTGGTCTCTCAGCCCAAGCTCAGGCACAGGGGGGCTTGCCTCACTTCAGAGACTGGCAGACCTAATGGTGCCTGCTGTCCCAGTGCCCTGTCAGAGACACCACCCTTCAGATAAGGTGTTAAAGAGAGGCCTCATTTCCCCTCTGAGGTGATCATGGTAGGTTTGGAAGACTCCGGGGGGACTCATTTCGTACATGCTGACCTCATTTACGAGAAAAAAAAGACGGGTTTTCTGGACATTTTTTTCGCTTTATTCATTTGTCGAACATGGCCCTCACTGGCTGGGCCCAGCATTTATTGCCCGTCCCTAGTTGCCCCTTGAGAAGGTGGGGGTGAGCTGCCTTCCTGAACCGCTGCAGTCCACGTGCTGTGGGTTGACCCACAATGCCCTTAGGAAGGGAATTCCAGGATTTTGACCCAGCGACGCTGAAGGAACGGCGATATATTTCCAAATCAGGATGGTGAAGGACTCAGAGGGGACTTTGCAGGGGGGTGGTGTTCCCATATATCTGCTGCCCTTGTCCTTCTAGATGGGAGTGGGGGTGGGTTTGGAAGGTGTTGTTGAAGTTGGTGAGTTGCCAGTGCATCTTGGAGATGATACATATTGCTGCCACTGATCATTGATGGTGGAGGGAGTAAATGTTTGTGGATGTGGTGCCAATCCAATGGACGTTTCTGTCCTGGATGTTATCTCATTGCTCTTTGTGGGATCTTCCTATGTCTCAATTCGCTGCTGCATTCCCTAGAATCATATAATCTTCAGATTTTCTGAAGAAGTGTCTAGGCCCAAAACGTCAGCTTTCCTGCTGCTCTGATGCTGCTTGACCTGCTGTGTTCATCCAGCTCTACACTTTGTTAACTCAGATTCTCCAGCATCTGCAGTTCCTACGATCCCTAGAATCATATGATGGGTCTGCCACAAACGGAGGCCTTTCTGCCTGCAATACTGTGCCAACTTGTCTACAAGAGCAACTCAGCTAGTGCCCATACCATGCCCCCCCACACTACTTTTCTCTGCAACATTTTCTTTGTCTGTCTTTAAATAGATGCAGTTGAATCTTCCTGAATCACCCTCTCAGGGCTGCCTCCCAGATACAAACCACATATTAACGCTTTCCCTTATGTTACCATTTTAAATTGAATGTCCTCGCCCCTTATTTGTCTTTTTCCTCTCGTGGGATGTGGGCATCACTGGTCAGGCCAGCATTTGTTGCCCATCCCTAAATGCCCCTTGAACTGGATAACTTACTAGGGCCATCCCAGACGGCAGCGAAGAGTTAACCACATTGCCAAGGCTCAGGACTCACAATGTAGGCCAGGCCTGGGTAAAATTGGCAGATTTCCTTCTCTACAGGACATGAGTGAACCCAATGATTTTTTTTAAATTAACTCACAGGATGTAAGCATCTCTGGCTAGGGTAGCATTTATTGCCCATCCCTAATTGCCCAGAGGGCAGCTAAGAGTCAACCACATTGCTGTGGGTGTGGAGTCACATGTAGGCCCAGATATAGGTAAAGATGGCAGTTTCCTTCCCTGAAGGGCATTAGTGAACCTGATGACAAGGTTCATGGTCATTATTAGACTCTTAATTCCAGATGTTTTAAAAATTGAATTCAAAATGCCATTGTGGGATTCGAACCCTGGTCTCTGGAACATTACCTCAGTCTCTGGATTAATAGTCTAGTGATAATATCATTAGGCCATCACTTTACAGCAATCAATGATAGTTGTCATGGCCACCATCAGTGAGACTAGCCCCACCCTCTGGATTACCAGTTGAGTAGCAATAGTCACCATTGGGCTCTTGGTTTAGAGAGAGATGACTGGAGGTGAGTTTACTTCAGGGTTTGCACCTCAGGCAAAAAGAGGATCAAAGTGGGATTATCAAAGGAACGCCAGCTGGTGTGGGAACCAAGCCCATACTGTTAGTGTCACTCCGCATCACCATCCAGCCAACTGAGCTAACCGAGTATCCGCCAACCCAGTTACACACTACCACCTCGTCACCATCAGCCCTTCTCTTCCGGGGAACAGTTTCTCCACCTCCGCTCCATTGCTTCAAGAAGTGCCTCTGAGGTGCTTTAGGACCTCTCTGAGGCCGCGAAAGGCGCTACAGAAATGCAACTTTCCTCCTCCCGTTTTCCCTGGGAGCATGGGAGGACTGGGATCAGCGAGGGGAGTTCACCGCCGCAAGTTCTCAGTGCGGGGAGGAGTTGTGACACCCGAGGGTGGGGCCGGCTCCGACAGGAGCTCGGCTCAAGTGATAGTCAGCGTCTTCAGGAGAGAAAGGGACAGACACGCTGACTCAGGTAGAGGAACCGAGCAAAGAGCAGACAGTGTCAGTACTATAATCCAGCAGCTCAGAGTCTCATTAACATCATTATGTTAATCCTGTTGCCCCAGGAAAGCCATCATTTGACTTTGGTGCTGGCACCTTATTTCCTTCCAAAACACAGAGAATGATTATAATTAATGTCCCAGTGAAAGACAGGGTGTTAAAAAACAGTGTGATGAAAGTTACTGTCACATAAGCACAGCTCAGTCTCACAGCACAGCCAAAACTACTTCAACTCATTCTTCCTTATTTCGTAATTTGGGATGTATGGCAACCATTCTCTCCACTACACCTTCGTGTGTGACTTGCATTTACGTAGCACCCGTCTCACCAAGTCAAGATATCCCCCAACACTCTCGGGGCAAGGGTTCAAATCCCACAGTGGAAAATGGTTCAAATTTGGGTGACTGTATAACTATTATTGGGAAAATAATGTCTTTTAGGGAGGGAATTCTGCCAATCTTATCTGGGTGTACAAACAGGAAAGGTTCATGGGCCAAATACTGGCAGCTGGGACCAGGTTAATGTAGGATATCTGGTCAGCATGGACGAGTTGGACCGAAGGGTCTGTTTCTGTGCTGTTCATCTCTAGGGTTTGACTTAGATGTAACTCCAGACCCACAGTAAAGTGGTTGAACTCTTAACTGCAATTCGTAGAATCCCTACAGTGTGGAAGCAGGCCATTTGGCCCATCGAGTCCACACTGACCTTCTGAAGATCATCCCACCCAGACACACCCTCTTACCCTATCCCTGTAACCTTGCATTTCCCCATGGCTAACCGAGCTAGCCTGCACACCCCTGGACAATTTTCCACGGCCAATCCACCCTAATCTGCACATCTTTGGACTGTGGGATGAAACCGGAGCACCTGGAGAAAACCCACGCAGATACGGGGAGAATGTGCAAACACAGACAGTTGCCCGAGGGTGGAATCGAACCCGGGTCCCTGGCGCTGTGAGGCAGCAGTGCTAACCACTGACCACAATCAATAAAACATTGTTATTGTACGAGCTGGAGTGTGATGCTCTGTGCTAGTAACAATACAGAATACCCACAATAAGGAATGGGCCATTTTTCTATCACCTACTGTCACAGGGTCAAGAGTTGGGGTCTCCTGCTGTAACCCCTGCTCAGTCATAGAGTCATACAGCACGGAAATAGGCCCTTCGGTCCAACTAGACCATGCCAGCCATAATTCCAACCCTGGTTTGCAAACTCAAATTGGGTGCATTGCAGGAGGTTTCATCACATAATCTCCCCCTCCAACAACCCCCAACCCCATCCCCACCACCCTGCTGCACCAGGGGGCACTCTACCTGCTCTGCCTCAAAATATGGTGAATGGGACCAGATTAATTTATAATATCTGGTCAGCATGAAGCAGTTGGATTGCAGGGTCTGTTTCTGCACATCTCTTTGACTCTATCTCCATCAAACCTCTCCCACACTTTGATTTCTGTGCTGTTGTTCAGGACTCCTGTCCTCAGATATAAAACATTTCTCTCCATCTTCTCATACGTGAAGCTATTAGAGAGTCTATGAGATTGGTTCCAGGGACACCAGTGATGCAGTAGTAGAGAAGCTGGCTTCCTTGTAGAAGGGGATGTTGAATCGAGGGGTCCCATACCATGAGGGGGTCTGGGTGGATCGAACGGGGAAACCGCACACCCACCCCGCCTCCGAGGGCACCAGTTCAAGGCGATTGGCAAAAGAAACAACAGTGACACGAGGAACACAGCGAGCGATTACAATCTGGAATGCCTGACAGTGTAGTGGAGACAGATTTTGTCAAAGCTTCCAAAACAAAAAAATGAGATGGTTATCTGGGGAGAAATGATTTGCGGGGCTAGGGAGAATTGGTGGGAGGGGGGTTGTAGGTGGGTGGGGAATCTGTGGAGGGCCTAAGTGAGTTGCTCCTGCAGACAGCCAACCCTTGAGGGGATGGGCTGAATGGCCTTCTCCTGCAGTATAACTGGTCTATGGTTTGATCCTATGGTTTATCATGTTCATTTCTTTCAAGATCTCCAAACATCTGAATCATTCTAGCCCCTTATTTCAGGGTCCACATGCTGGTTTATCTAATCCCCTTGTTATCCCGGGATGAGAGAGAGAGAGCGGGACACCAGAGGGTAATGTGTGCAGTTCCAGTGACCCCATGAGAGCTTAGACAGTGGAGTTTATGGCTTCCATTGGCTGAAGCCATTTCTGGGAGAGTTTAAGGAGACAATTCACGATGATGCTGTGGAAGTGCTGCCTCGTCGGAGTCTCTAGTTGTAGTGTTTAAGCAGTGGCCCCGCCCAATCCGCAAACATGAGCCCATCCAAAACTTGGCTACCTGTACCTGAACTCACCTCGTCCTGCTCCCTGCCCTTGCCCATGAGCATGCCAACCTACACTGTCTTCCAGATTGACCCCACTCCCATTCCGAAATTCCCACCTCAAGCCCCTCGCAATCTCAATAGCCCTCCTTAATCGCTGCATTTGGTCCGAGAGCTGCTCATCTCTGGTTGTCACCGTTCCGGGGCCATCGGCTACGGAATTGCCGCTCCATCTTCGCGATGCTCCTCAGAGTCCAAGTGCCTCCCAATGTGTCAAATGGTGCCTCCTCACAGCTCGTGCGAAGCCTCTTCTGAGCTCACATTGTTGTTGTTGATGAAGTCTCGCCTGCCTCCACCAAAGGCCAGTGCCAGTGGAACGACCTGCATTTATGTAGCGCCTTTCGCGAGACGCTTAGGAGAGGTGCATTTTAGAATCAGAGAATCCCTACAGTGCGATTGGAGACTGTTCAGCCCTTCGAGTCTGCACCGATCCCCCACCCCGTCCCCCAATTTTGTTGCAAGATCATGGACTCATAGAGACGTACAGTGTGGAAACAGACCCTTCGGCCCAACTCGTCCATGCCAACCAGATATGCTGAATTAATCTAGTCCTATTGGCCAGCACTTTTTTTTTTTCCTTTATTCATTCACGGGATGAGGGCGTTGCTAGCTTGACTGCATTTATTGCCCCATCCCTAATTGCCCAGAGGGCAGTTCAGAGTCAACCACATTGCTATGGGTCTGGAGTCACATGTAGGTCCAGACCAGGTAAGGATGGTAGTTTCCCCCACTAAAGGACATTAGTGAACCAGATGGGTTTTTCCCCTCAACAATAAACAACAGATTCATGGTCATCGTTAGATTCTTAATTCCAGATATTTTTAATCAAATTCAAATTCTACCATCTGCCATGGTGGGATTCGAACCCAGGTCCCCAGAACATTGTTTCAGTCTCTGCATTAACAGCCCAGCGATATTACCACTAGGCCACTCGCCTCCCTCGAAACGTTTCCCATTCATGTACCCATCCGGTCGGCATTGACGGAGCCAGGTCGGCATTTGTGGGATCTCACTGTGTACAGGAGCTGGCGTACCCACTGGGAAGGGCCTTGGGACACTTCGAGGCTCTGTGGATAAATGAAGACTGGCTTATTTTCTTTCTCTGCCTACAGTGTGAGCCAGAGGTGAACAGATTCCCAGACTAGGGGAGACACGAGGGTGCCCTCTTGGACCAGGCGGCGCTGCCCATTTTGCCGAGACTGGTGTCAGCTCGGAGCGTGGTGAGTCAGCACACCGATAGGCGCACTGCTGAAGCTGCCTCACTCTTTGGCTCCCTGGGGCAGACTGGTGCACGCCACTTAATGAGCTGTGAGAGCTGAAGACACTCATTACCGTCTCTCAGTGAGATCTGTTTACCCAGAGACACGCAAAATCAGAGGTTATGGAGCACTGAGCAGCAACACTAGAAAAATCTGCCTCTTTGGCACCCTGTCAGCGGTAAACTCCCAGCCAAAAACCAGTCAAAATGAATCACCTTTTACATGAGGGAAGAAGAAGGGGAATTAAAATAAACACATTAACCCTTTCAGACCTCGGTTTAGGGACTGTGCAAACTGGATGCAACTTAGTTTCATCATTTGTTCATTGGGCAGTATTTATTGCCCATCCATAATTGCCCTGAGGGCAGCTAAGAATCAATCAGTTTGGAAGAGGAATTATCCTGAACTCTGTACACTCGCTCTGTCGCTCCCTCTGCATAGATGCCTCCAGACCTCAGGCAGCTAATAAGGAGCAGTGCTGCCAACGCTGCCCGTGCAAGACCCTGTGAATCCACTGGGAGGAAAGACCCACCAACTCCAACATCCTCGACCAGGCCAACATCCGCAGCATCGAGGCCCTGAACCCCTTCCCTCGACCGAATGTGATGGGCTGGGTACACCATCCGCGTGTCTGACACGAGACTCCCCGAGCAGTACCCCACCCCCAGCTCCGAAACAGCAGGCCAGCCCCAGGGGGACAGAGGAAGCGTTTCAGTGATCCCCCTCAAGGCCTCACTGGGGAAGTGCAACATTCCCACAGGCACCTGGGAATCACCGGCCCCCAAGACCGTCCAAAGTGGAGGAGGAGGAGCATCCAGGAAGGCATCAAGCTCCTCGAGACTCACCATCGGGAAAAAGCCAAAGCCAGGGGGGAAAACAGGGAAAGGGGCGTGCTGCCACACCAACCCCCCACCCACCCCCTTCCCGTGCCCACCTTCTGCCCCAAGCGTAACAGAGCCTGCAGTAGTACAGCCACCTACAGACGCACCCTGAGAGGGGAAGGGAGTCACCCTCATCTACAAGAGGCTGCCAATGCACGAATAATTAAGGAAGGCAAATGGGACATTATTGCTAAGGGAATGGAGTATTAAAGTAGGGAGGTTTTTGTTGCAACTGTACAAGGCATTAACGAGACCACGTCTGGAGTACTGCGTACAGTTTTATTCCCCTTACCTGAGGAAGGATGTAATTGCAATGGAGGCAGTGCAGAGAAAGTTCACCAGATTAACTCCAGAGATGAAAGGCTTGTCTGATGGTGAGACATTGAGCAGTTTAGGCCTGTACTCGCTAGAGTTTAGAAGAATGAGGGAAGATCTAATTGAGGTCTATTAGATGCTAAAGGCGATTGACAAGGTAGACGCAGAGAGGATGTTTTTGTCATGTGGGACAATCTAGAACGAGCGGTTATAGTTTTAGGATAAGGCTGGCAGGTTTAAAACAGAGATGAGGAGGAATTGCTTCTCTCACAGGGTCATAAATCTGTGGAATCAGAGAGTGGGGGATGTTGGGACACTGAATAAATTTAAGGAGGAGATAGAAAGAGATTTTTAATTAGCAATGGGTTGGAGACCGAGCAGGAAACACCTCACCGTCTCAAATGGATTTTCTGGGCGAAAGGGTTTCAGATTTAATGAGTGATGACTTATTGTCAATTGTACTCTACAATGAGCAACACAGTGAAATATAGTGAAAAGCTTCAACTGTCAAAGCTGAAAAAGAGCCCAGCTTTGTTCCACCGCGAGCCCTGAGTTGGCTTACCATCAGACCCACCAACGTTGGAGGTGCCCTTCTTCAGGCACTGCCTTTTCATCGCTGGGCCCACCTCGCTAACAGACTGCCGATGCTGGACCCACACTCAGCCCGCACCCTCTTCATGAAAAGATAATACAACACCACCCCCCCAAGTGGCCTTTTAGCATCATGTTGCCATGTTTCTCTCCAACAGAGAGTATTATGCCAAGCAGGCCCAATGAACGTGCAATCATGTTGTCAACTCACCCTAGAGTCAAGATGCACAACTCAAATTTATATAGCGCCTTTACGTTGACCCAGTCTCCCAAGGAGCTTCACAGGAGGGTAGTCAGACTGAATTTGACACCAAGACACATGAGGAGATCCTTCAGATGCACCAAGACATTGGTCAAAAAGGCTTTAACGAGGTTTGTAGAAGAGGAAAGCGAGGCAGAGAGGTTTACAGAGGGAATTCTGGATCTTGGGGAGCCAGGCAGCTGGAGGCCCTTCTGGAGATTCAACAGAGGCCAGAATCAGAGGCGTGCAGAGCTCTCAGACATTGTGGGCCTGTGGGGGGAGGTTTACAGATATGGCAATGGAATATCTGAACAGCAGAGTTGCAGGGACAGGTCAGGCAATGGCACTGCGTGAATTGTTTCTGAGGAGGGCTAGCACGGACACAATGGGTTGGATGGCCATCTACCATGCTGTAACCATTGTATGATTTTGTCAGACCATGGAGCCCAGAGAGCTGCCCCTGTTCTGGAGCCAGTCTGCCGGGGAAATGACTGTTTACAACCTGGGCGGAGGAGAGAGAGCACAACGAGTGTGATTTGGCAACTTAGTCAACCATACAAACTGGGACATCCTCAAATCGAATCAGAGATAGTAGGAACTGCAGATGCTGGAGAATCCGAGACAACAAGGTGCAGGGCTGGATGAACACAGCAGGCAAAGCAGCATCATAGGAGCAGAGAGGCTGACGTTTCGGGCCTAGACCCTTCATCAGAAAAGGGGGAGGGGAAGGGGGTTTTGAAATAAATAGGGAGAGAGTGGGAGGCGGATAGAAGAGGGATAGAGGAGAGGATAGGTGGAGAGGAAACAAACAGGTCGAAGAGGCGGGGATGGGGCCAGGAAAGGTGAGTGTAGGTAGGGAGTTAGGAAGGGGATAGGTCAGTCCAGGGAGGACGGACAGGTCAAGGGGGCGGGATGAGGTTGGTCGGTAGGAGATGGAGGTGCGGCTTGAGGTGGGAGGAGAGGATAGGTGGAGAGGAAACAAACAGGTCGAAGAGGCGGGGATGGAGCCAGGAAAGGTGAGTGTAGGTAGGGAGTTAGGAAGGGGATAGGTCAGTCCAGGGAGGACGGACAGGTCAAGGGGGCGGGATGAGGTTGGTCGGTAGGAGATGGAGGTGCGGCTTGAGGTGGGAGGAAGGGGGGATAGGTGGGAGGAAGAACAGGTTAGGGAGGCAGGGACGAGTTGGACTGGTTTTGGGATGCGGTGGGGGGGAGGGGAGATTTTGAAACTTGTGAAATCCACATTGATACCATTGGGCTGCAGGGTTCCCAAGCGGAATATGAGTTGCTGTTCCTGCAACCTTCGGGTGGCATCGTTGTGGCACTGCAGGAGGCCCAGGATGGACATGTCGTCTGAGGAATGGGAGGGGGAGTTGAAATGGTTCGCGACTGGGAGGTGCAGTTGTTTGTTGCGAACCGAGCGTAGGTGTTCTGCAAAGCGGTCCCCGAGTCTCCGCTTGGTTTCCCCGATGTAGAGGAAGCCACACCGGGTACAGCGGATGCAGTATACCACATTGGCAGATGTGCAGGTGAACATCTGCTTGATGTGGAAAGTCTTCTTGGGGCCTGGGATGGGGGTGAGGGAGGAGGTATGGGGGCAGGTGTAGCACTTCCTGCGATTGCAGGGAAAAGTGCCGGGTGTGGTGGAGCTGGAGGGGAGTGTGGAGCGGACAAGGGAGTCACGGAGAGAGTTGTCCCTCCGGAAAGCAGATAAAGGTGGGGAGGGAAAGATGTCTTTGGTGGTGGGGTCGGATTGCAGATGGCGGAAGTGTCGGAGGATGATGCGTTGGATCCGGAGGTTGGTGGGGTGGTACGTGAGGACGAGGGGGATTCTTTTTTGGTTTTTATTGCGTGGACGGGGTGTGAGGGATGAGGTGCGGGAGATGTGG